CTATCTCTCTCTCTGTCAAATAAATAAATAAAATCTTTAAAAAAAAAAAAAAAGATACGTATTACCCGTAACAACTTGAGCAAGTCATGAAATGTCCCTAGGTCTCACTTTCCTCATCTGTAAAAGGGGGCTACAAATTTAGTTTAAATACCATGTCTTTAAAAAACAAATCTTAATTGCTTGCTCCTTTATTTTTTTTTTAAGATTTTTTTTATATTTGAGAGAGAGAAAGAGAGTGCACCCTCCAGCGACCACGGGTGGGGGAGGGGCAAAGGAAGAGGGAGAAACAGACTCCCCGCTGAACAGGGAGCCCCACGCGGGGCTCCTTCCCAGGACCCTGGGATCATGACCTGAGCCAAAGGCAGACGCTTAACTGACTGAGCCACCCAGGTGCCCCGCGTGCTTCTTTATTTACACTAAATAATTACAGGTCCTCTTGATTATCCTTGGTGTCTAAAATTACAAAAGCTAATTTTGAAAAATAAAGAATTATTTCTGAAGAACATTTTGAAAAAGAAGACAGGAATAAGTATAGCCAAATTTTGTTTTAAAGAATAATGATCACAAAACTTTCTGGAGTCCAACAAATTGGTATGCATATGCCAAATGGGAGAGGCAGTGACCACTTCTAATCTGTAACTATTTAATAGAGTTCAGAATAGACGTTCTGAGGGGCACCTGGCCAGCTGAGTCGGTAGAGCACGTGACGTTTGATCGCAGGGTGATGAGTTCGAGCCCCACATTGGGTGTAGAGATTACTTAAAAAAAAAAAAAAAACTCAGAATTTTTTTTTTAGCTCACTGGGTTAAAACATCAGTGAGCTGGGCTGATTAAAAACAAAACAAAACAAAACAAAACAAAACAAAAAACTGGGCTTAACATCTCAGCTAAAGCTCCAGCAGATGGAGGAGAAACTCTGCACTTGACAATGGTTGACTGTCATTTTTCGGGGGTGGAAACATCACATTCCCACCAGGACTTAGTGAAGAATCCAGGTTCTATTATTAATTTCCTCCCCAAAGTCTAATCTTGTCAGGATTACAATTTGTGATTCTGACTATTTAGCATTTGGAAGTTTAGAATTATTCTTTAATTATTTTAGCAGACCATTCCCTTTGCTCCTCATTTTCAGTTCCAGCTTTTTTTTTTTTTTTAAGATTTTATTTATTTATTTGACAGAGAGAGACATAGAGAGAAAGGGATCACAAGCAGGTGGGAGTGGGAGAGGGAGAAGCAGGCTTCCCGCTGAGCAGGGAGCCCGATGCGGGGCTTGACCCCAGGACCCTGGGATCATGACCTGAGCCAAAGGCAGACGCTTAATGACTGAGCCACCCAAGTGACCCTCAGTTCCAGCTGTTCTTTCCCACCTTCTAGCCAGGTGATTCTCTTAAGACCTTTGCCAAGAGCCCAATAAAGAGACACTAATATCTTAGAAAGAACAGGAACAAAACTCCTATGAAGTCCCCTGTATAGTCTGTCTCTTTAATTAGCAATAATCGCACCTGCGATAAACCTCATTGGCTATCATACTGCCACTTGTAACAGCTTTGTTGAGATATAATTCGCACACCATACAATCCACCCATTTAAAGTGTACAATTCAATGGCTCTGAGTATATTCAGAGTTGTGTGACCATCACCACAATCAGTTTTAGAACATTTTCATCACCCCGACAAGAAACCTTGTACCCAGTAACAGTTACCTCTCATTCTCCCATACCCCCCCAGCCCAGCAACCACTAATTCACTCTCCGTCTCTATCGATTTGCCTATCATGGACACTTCATATAAATGAATCATTATGTGGTCTTTTGGGAGGGGCTTCTTTCACTTAGCCTGACGTTTTCAAGGTTCATCCATGGTGTAGCATGTATCTGTACTTCATTTCTTTTTATGGTCGAATAATACTCCATCGTGTAGATATACATTTCATTTATCTATGCATCAGATGGTGACCATTTGGGTTCTTTCCACTTTTTGGCTATTGTGAATCATGCTGCATTGAACACGCTATACAAGTTTTTGTTGGATATATGTTTTCAATTCTCTTGAGTATATATCTAGAAATGGAATTGTCAGGTCCTATGCACCTTTATAGTTTTCAACGGAATAATGTGACAATGATCTATCTATTCCTGCATACAAAATTATCCCAAAGCTTCAGGGCTTCAAATAACAGTAATCATTTACTACCTCTCATAGTTGCTGTGGGTCCGGAACTTGGGAGTAACTCGAATAGGAGGATCTGGGTCCAGGTCTTTCACGAGGCTGCAGTCAGATGCTGGTCAATGTGGAAATCCTCTGAAGGCTTGGTCGGAGCTGGAGATCCATTTCTAGGATGGCTCGCTCGCATCTAACAAGGTAGAGCTGGCTCTTGGCTGGGGCCTCAGTCCCTCTCCACACGGGCTCCCCCACAGGAATGCCTGAGTGTCCTCAAAGTAGCAGTCTTCCTCTAACACCAGCTAACCAAGAGACCAAGGTGGAAGCTGCATTATCTTTTATGACTTAGCCTCAGAAGTCAGACACTGTTGCTTTCACCAAATTCTACTGTTCACATAGGCCAGCCCTGATTCCTGCGGGAGGGTAGCAACAAAGGGGAAGAGGGAAGACACCGAGGGAGGAAGGTTGGAGACATCTTGAAGGCTGGCTACTGCAAACAGGTTGACTTCAAAGCTCTGTCCTCTGTTCTTCCTACAGAGAGGATCCAAAGTGACAGATCCCAGGCAAGAGGTCAAAAAAGTCTGGAGGATCGTGACAGCACCATGTTTCACTCCCTCCAGTGGGTGGATTTAACAACCTGCACTGGAGCTTCCTGACTCTCGTGCTGGGGAATTTGAGGAGAAGGAGAATCTAAGTGCACTATGTAATAGAAAGATAAAGAACTCCAAGCCTGCCTGTTGTCCTTGGATTATTGCCCCTGGTATTCACCTCTGGAAGGGCCAACCCTTTGTCTCCCTATCCGCATCAGCAAAATCTTCCTGGAATGTCATTTGGGTTATTTGATCCAGTAGTAAAATCCACGTTCTCTCCTGGCAAATCAGCAAGTACTTATTAAGCATCTACTGTGTACCCAAGAGCAAATCCTAGGATCATTTGAGACCAGTGTAGATGGATACGCCAAAAATGGCCAGGCATGACCAAAATAGATTGTTGTCAAACCCACCTGTCTTGAGGCTTCAAAGGCAAGAACTGAAAAGGACTTTTTTTTTTTTTTTTTTGAGCTAGCATTTAGAGACGGTACTGCCCAAAGAATGCTTTCAGACTGTTTTTCATTTAGAAAATTCCCAAGGACTTGAAACACAAAGAAAGATCAAGGAACCATTCTAGAGGGGCGCCTGGGTGGCTCAGCCGTTAAGCGCCTGCCTTCGACTCAGGTCATGATCCCAGGGTCCTAGGATCGAGCCCCGCATCAGGCTCCCTGCTCTGCGGGAAGCCTGCTTCTCCCTCTCCCACTCCCC